AATAGTTGTGTTTTTGTTACGTTAGAATGAGCCATTTTTGTCTTCAGACTTCTATGAAGGTTGCCATGTTGAACCTCCATGTTTCTACCGTAGCTCAGAACAGACAAAGCAAACACTGGCTCTAGAGAGGGCGGTTTGTATTTAGAGCACATTTCTTAGACGCTGTAGTTTCTGCATTGCGCTTGGAAGGGCAGGGAGTGAAGTGAGGGAGTTGCAATCGGCAACTTGCCATCTAGATGCCACTAAATGCTACGCAATGGTCTTTAATTGATCAGTCGATTACATTAATTGAAAATGCTTGTTTTTGTCTGACCAACAGTCCAAAAGATATTAAAATGAAAATGGTCTTAAACAGAGAAAAGCAGAAAACCTCACTTGAGAAGCTAATTGGATTTTGGCTTCATAAATAATGACTTCAAAGTTCACTCTCAGTTGAGAAAACAATGTCACCACAAAGTCCACTGAGATTGTTTTCTTTGACTTGCATCTGTGTCCCTCAACAACACTCCTGGTCATGGTTGCTTAAACACTTGTGTGTCTTGTGCTCAGTGCTGGTTAGTGTGAGCTTTTAGCTGGATGAGCAGATTACTTAAGAATGTAAAGCCAAAGTGACAGACAATGGACTCACAATGGAAACTGCCCTCCATGTTCATAGAGTGCACGTAACAGAACACACAGCTGACTTTTGCCATTGTAAAGCCAGAGGGCAAAAGTTTAAGTAGCGAAACATTTCTGCCTTTCCCCCAGTTTTTTCCCTCCACTCTCAGCTCTTCAAAATAATTCATGTTTTCAAAACAAGTCATTGAGTTATTTTACACTGTCTCACAGTCTCCTCCTGAAGAATCGACTGTAATGAAATGTATGTAAATTCTGTCCCTGCATGGTAAATAATTCTGATCAATATTTCTTCAAGTTGGCAACAGCAACACGAACCCCGGATAGTACACACCTGCATCAAACAGCTGACTCTGCATACATAACAGCTATATGGGTTGGCTCGTAACGTTAATAAGGAGAGAACGGACAAGAGCGATGATTGTAATATTCATAATGACAGCTGAGAGATGACTGAATAATTGATGAATTAGGAAATGAAAGATCCTGACATTATGTGAGAGGAAGGCTGGTCATAAAAAAGCTTTAGGCGTAGTTGCGGACGTCTTGATATGCATGCTTATTAAACTGACAAACAAGAAAGATGCGGGGACCAGTTTTCAATTTGTGAGGTAACAGATGGATGACAGCTCCAACCAGTGAAACATGAGCACTGGTAGGTGCTGGACATGGAGGTGAAAAACCCTGAAAATAGTACTAAAAACTAAAATTAAAGACATATTTTATCAATTACTGGACAGATATTCTTTTTTTTTTTTTCCTTTTACTGCTTAAAAAGAAAAGAAAGTTGACATTCCCTTTGCTTCTGTTTGACTCAGTTTAAACACTGAAATGTTTCTTTCATGTCCAACTTGATTTGCTGAACCGTACGTACATTTTGTTTATGTGTGTTATTTGTGTTCTGCTTATCCACTTTGGAAAAATGTTTTGTTTTGGCAAAATGACAAAGTACACTATAGATACCATTAACTTATAACGCATGAGTTTATATGTTGTTATTAATGTCTTTATTCATTATTAATGAATGCTTTATGTATCAAATAAGAACACCAATTGATTGTGGAAAATCCCTTTTCTGGTGTGTATCCTCTTCCAGCTAACTTGCTGTGACTTTTTTTGTTTCTCCATAATACATTGGGATGAGTTATAGGTAGTGAAAACTCCCGACCATTACTAACTAAAAAATAGCTCAATGACAAAGTTATCTATAAACGGTCATGAGTTTCCCTGTTTATAAAAGCCCTCAGGTCTACTCTTCATGTTGTAAGTAATGTGCTGGACTGTCCATTGAAGAGGTCTGAATTTGTTTGTATTCATCTCTGTTACTTTTATTGCAAAAAATAGATTTTAAACAAGAACAATGCTATAAACGTACTTACTTTCATCCTGCAGGAAAAGCCAAGGGGATATTTTTGTTCTTCAGCCAACGCAAAAACTTAAATAACATCAATAAAACCAGATTGGTTATGTGTAGTGCAGTGATGATTCACCTTGCAAATGTGTAGTATATAATGGTTTAATAAGAGATTGGTAGGAGGAGCCATTACAAGCTGAATAATCAGACTTAAGGGAGCACATATTTGTGAAGTTGGTACCTGGAACAGCAGCCTGCATGTATCATGCTGCTCATAAAACTTTAGTTTATTATTCCAGTGGACACTGCTGAACCCCCAAAGAGGAGAACTGCTGCAGATTCAACTTGTCATCTTTCACTTTTAGATGCATGTTAAATGTTGAGAGGTTGTGTGATCAAAGCTCCTGTAATTGTGAGGCTTTCTTGACTCTGCAGAAACATGATTTAAAGTTCAACAGAAAAAAAGAGGCGAAGGCACTGAGAAGCCCAATGCTTCAGAGCAGTTCAGCGTTCTGCACTGCTCTCGGTGTAATGTCTCAGCCCATTTTGAGCTCCTCATTCTGTCTCAGAAGCATCTCCTTCCAGTGCTCATCGAGACAAAATCCAATTAGACAGAAGGACGTAGGCGCCCAAATCTCTCTCCTCTATGTGCTCTTATTTTCCTCCTGTGCCCTTGGGCTTCGATTTATTGAATAATTAATTGCCTCAGTCACATTTGCACATACAGTACACACACACATGCTCTAACGCACCGACACATACACACACGTTTTCAACATTTACCTCTAGTTATACGAGTTTCCCTCACTGTGTGACTACCCATTTAGCGAATGAGTTCTGCTTCATTTATGGATCTCATTTATGCAGTGCCCCTTGGACGTTCATTTGCTTTAGCTTCACCAATATCACAATGGTCACATTTCTTCTCGATTTTTTACTTGACTTAATTTTAGGTTTGGTTGAAAAGAGGATTTATGCACCTCACAGGTCTAATTTGAATGCCTGATAACATGGTTTCAAATGCAGTGATGTTGTAATGATCATGAAAAATCACACATGGGAGTCCCCGCTCCTGATTGTTTAGAAACACGTCTAATGTGTGGAGCTTTTAATTGGTGTTTCTGTTCAGAATTAATCTTCCAAAAAACCCAAGAGAGAAATCACATCAGCTCCTCTCTTTCCTTCACTGCTGTCTAAATATTTCCTTCTGTTGTCTCTCAGGGAGAAGATGCCGTTCCACCATGTGACGGCAGGCCTGCTCTACAAGGGGAACTACCTGAGCCGCTCACTGTCAGACAGTGACAGTGACGTGCTGGCCAGCATCTCTGTGGAGGAGCTTGATGGTAAGGATTCTCAGTAAACTGTCTGGCTGCTGTCCTGCCTTGTGTTTAATGTGCATTTAAAGTGTTTTGGCTGCTGCTGCATGCCTTTCTACCCCCATAATCATTGGCCACATTTACATTGATTACAAATAAAGATCAGCAGATTGTATTTTAACATCTAACTATTATTACTATTTTCAAGGGGGTAGTAATAATAACTTTTGTATGGCACCTTTCAAACAAGAAATGTAGCTCAAAGTGCTTTATAGCAAAGAAATGACTTGCACCTAGTGCTTCACATGAAAAAAGACATAAAATGTTCATAAAAAACATAATTGAATGCCGTAATTAATGGGAAATAAGATGGAAAATAAAACCCACTAGGTGACAAAGGTCAACTCTACAGAAAACAACAAAATAGACTGAAATAGTTGCACAGTTGGAATATAGAGCTGCATACAAATGATTAAAACCTCACTGCAGCTTTATGTTTAGTTACGCTTCATGCCAGCTTGAGGGGGAAGCAGAACCAAAATGAAGGAAAACAAAAAAGTAAAAAAAACAAAGTTAAAGAACAACATTGGCTGTATTAGGAAAGCAAAAAAGATGTAGAGAATTCAGAAAATCTCTCACTGTCCAGTATGTAGTAAAAAGTGTGTGTAAACAGGGATGATGAGCCAGAGGACAACAGGAGATCCACAGCCCGTCATGTGGTTTAAAGGCAGATCAGACGGTCACACAGTGGGAGCCACTGCGTAAAAATGATTTTTGGCCAACAAGCCTGTACACACTGCGGAATCCCAAACACATATGGAGCTTTGTATTTCAGAAAACATTTGCAGTCACTTAATACGTCCACAAATGATGTATCGTATAGTACCGAACGGTAAATAGACTTAAAAGGCTTCAAAGGACAGGTGCTGATCGAAGTCGCCCCAGTCAGTTTTATAGTCAGTAATGCTTTGAAAGACAATACAGTGCTTTAAAACCAGCAGCATCCTACTCATCTGAACCAACAAAGCACAGTAATGCATTATTCTCTACGCAGCTTATCTCACCAGGAGCATTCACATCTGCTGGCTTCTCTCTGTGGCTTCACATCCATGCTGCTGTTGAGGCTGTGCTGGTGGACCCATTGTTTTGGAGCCTGTCTGAGAGTAATCACCTGGGTCTGTAGAACACAAACCTGATCAATTACAGTCTGCCGGAGTCAGCAGTGGCAGCCTCACAGGCAGCAAACAAACTCTACTCCCCCAGACCTCCAAAATATTAATCCATTGATGCAACATTAAGCTGCCGTCTGGAAAATTGGCTGCACAGCACACGGTAATAGCCAGATACTCTGTCAGGGTTAAGTTTTAATATGCATGGAGAAATTTGCAGCATATGAATTTCTCATTCCTGTTTTAACGGGTTCATGTTGTTTGGTGAATAAGAAACGGCTTGTGCTTAGAGGGTCTTCATGAGGTCAGCTACACACTGTCAAACTGTAGCCTATCAACACTGTAGTGTTGTAGTGTATCAGTATTTACCATATGCTATATGTTGGTTGAGTAGTGGTATCACAGCAGCTAGAAGGTCACCAGCGTGGATGTTTAGATTATCTCTAGTTAGTGGGAGAAGTTAGTCTTTCATGCCTTAACAGGTATTTAAGTGCTTGTCAGCAAGGCACATAAACCATGGACAATCTCACCCGTTTCTTAGTGTCATCAATTACTCGATGTGCACAGACATTACACATCCTACAAAGTATGGCAATTGTTGCAAAACTGGAAACATATGTATCTCAAATTAAATTACAATCAGTATTTAAATTTATATAAGGCTCAAATTGCCCTTTCAACATGGTTATATATATATATATATATATATATACCTGGAACACTGACGCCCGATATCCAGTCATATACAGATACTTATTTACTTATTACAAACACATAACATACATCTGTAAATGTATGGACTAAAAACCAATCAAACACAGCCTTCCTAGCAGGTCCAGTGGATTATGGTCAGTAGTGCGGCAGTGATGGCAGTCTTGTTCGAAGTACGTTTACGACACTCTGAAACAATCTGGACGTACAAGGTTTTCATCAGACACCATTAGAAACTGTCTTACCTGTCTTGTGTCTTTTTCAAGCGTCATTAGCAACTCCCGTATGTCTCCCACTGACTCCTTTTCCCCGGCGCTGCTCACACAGCCTCCACATTCTGCACATTCAACACTTCTGCTTCACAATATTTAAAGAAGCAATTTACTGTATTTGTCCGGGGCCATTAAAATGCTTGCAGCAGTGGGCTGAGCTGTCACACGACTGGGGGTATGGAATCAGTCAACTGGAGTGTTTTTGTAAATGTCTCATCTCTCAGGAGAAGCTGCTGTTGCCTGTAGGGATTTATAAAGGGAACAACTGCCCCTCAAGTCTTTCTTACCGTATAGATAACGCCTTAAGATTCGACAACAACGTAAGTCATCCAGAGGTAGCTGGTTGTATTTACCATAGTATTAACTTGCAGCAGACAGTTATTCCCCTGCAATTGTAGATCAAGGAAGGGCAACTTTGTAATGAGAGCCTAACTTGCAAAATTGTAAACCTGATATTGCTTTTGCTGAAGTCATTGTCAAGGAAGCAAGATTGATTAATACCTGACAATTGAGTCGCTGAGGAAACAATTATTTACAAGACTTAAAAAACAGAAACATGACTATTTCCTGACCTGTGTTTTCACTCCATGTGGTGGCTGTAGATTAATTCTTCTCCTTCATCCAGAAGGAGAGTTAAATGTGATATGTATGATCTTTAAACCAGCAGAGCATCTTTAAATGACACTTGTAGAGTTGGTACTTAATTCTTTGACATAGACTTTACAAGATGTTCCATTGATCGTAGAAATTTCAGTCAATATGTGTGAACATAGACGCACTTCCTGCCAAGACTTGCAGACAGATCCAAGCCTCTGATCTGTGATCCAGTCAAAAGCCAAAACCAGGAGCTCTGCTGTCACTCAGCTGAAGACTGTCTTTGAAGATTTAGTTTGAGATTTAGTTTGTCTTTGAAGATTTAGTTTGATTTAGTATGTGGTTCTTCCTCAACACTCAGCAACGACATCCCCCATTCCTTCTGAAAGTACTGAACCAAATTTATAACGAAGGCTCACATCTTCATCGTCACATCATCTGTCATTTATTCATCTAGATGTGTAACACACTTGATGCCATGCATTACAGCCCCTTTGTAGTCTTGTTCCAGAGGTGCACTGACATTTGACTGCTCCTTGACATAACTGCATCCTCTGAGGATAATTTGTACATCATATCTTGCAGCTCAATTGTTAATCAAAGAGCAGACCCTTTTTGTCATGTTCATTAACAAATTGGCAAATTGAGTTGCAGTATGGTGCAGGCAAGGCGTAGGAAAGAGAACAGTGCAGGAGAATAGCCTCTGGTCCGTTCTTACATTATTGCAGGGAAGACTCTCCATCATATGCCAGACTGGTGTTATATCCTGAAAGAACAAACTGAGCTGTTTGTACAACGACCTAATGTAATTCCTGAGCAGGCACTCTACATTGTGTATATTGTGCTTTTTTTATGTTATTGCTGAGTCAGGTTGGTACTTTACACCAGGCCAAAAGTTGCGTGAGGCCATTGACCTTTAGTGACATTTTTGTATTTAGGGAAACTTTTTTTCCTTCATCCATCATCCATTATCTATATCCGCTTATCCTTTGCAGGGTCACAGGGAGCTGGATCCTGTCCAAGTTCACACTGGGTGAGGGGCGGGTTACATCTTGGTCAGGTCGCCAGTTCATCACAAAGCATTTTCTTTTAGTTTTATGCAAATCAAATGTTAAACACATTGTCTATGACCTTAAGCCAGCATTGGTAGACATTAGCCAGAGTTTTAATTAATTCAGCATTGGAAACAGCAGGACATGAATGCATTTTAGGGAGTGTTATTGAGATCTAACTTAACTTTTTCACCAAATATGTTCATCTAGTGTAATTTCAAGAGGGTGCAGTGTATCCACATATACATTTTACTGGGATAGTTACAGTTAGAACGGTTAATACTGGGAAAGTGTGAGCTCCAGTCTGGCTCTGCGGACTGCAGCAGTCAGCAAGATTTTCAACAGTCTAGTAGCATCTAGACTCTCCACCACATGTTGAGCTGAATCTGTATCCACAGTGGTAGTCCAGGGTGAATTTCAGGCAGACCTCACAATAAAGAAGTCCTGCAGACAGGCTTTACGGCAAAAACAAAAATAGGCTATTTTATTAAAGGTTTACTGAAAGGGCAGCGGAAGAAATCCTTTCTAGTCGGCGCTCAGGCTCTTCTTTCACTAAGCATGCTGAGCTGAACCAGACGGCAGTAAGCCTGCAGGGAGGTTTGTGTCTGCTCAGCCCACCAGCACCGAGCTTTCCTTGAAGGAGAGAGGGAGAAGGAGCAGGAAGGCTGACGGGCACCAGCATTAGGCAGCTTGTTTCCAACTTCATGGGCATATAATCAGCAGTTCCCATTTGGCAGTTTTTTTGTGCTCGGGCTGAGAGACTTGGCTACCTGCTGGACTGGTACTGGGAGTGAAGCCACTGGTAGTGGAATTGGAACCAGTTGTACTGTGTGTGCTGACTGCCTGCAGCACAGAGACAGAATCACACTTGCAACAGACAGCTCGTCGTAGAGGGAGCTGTCCAGGGTGCTGACTGTTTCCCCTCTCCTCAATCCCCCTGGGACACCACAACACCTGAAATCATTGATAACACTGGTGCCAGGAGCCAAAAATGGAGCAAGATTGTTTTCTTATCTGACACAGTATTAACCTGAAATCCATCAGTCTGTGTGCATATACCCAAAAAATCTAAAAAAGGATGTTAGAGATATGTCTTCAATAGTGTTTTATAATCCTATTTTTTCTAGTTTTAACAGCTTTATCCTGTATAAAGTAAAAAAGTAGAGGTAAAAAATATAAGTTGGTTGATAAATTCTCTGTCAATCGACTAATCAATTAACTATTTTGAGAATCAATTGATATTTCAAGCAAAATAGTTTCTAATTCTAGCCTCTGCCAATGATAATGTTTTACTATTTTCACAAATTTGATCTGCAAAACAATTGTACAGACATTGTAAAATAATTGTCAGATGAATCAATATTGAAAATCATTTTCAGCCCTAAATCCAACCAATCTTTCCATTCTTGAATGTTGATGTGAAACACTGCACTGGTCGCTGGTCGGCTTCAAAGCCAGGACCTTGCATTGACATGGTTTTGTTGAAGAATTTTTAATATAACCTTCTTTCACATGAAAAAAATACCTTTTATTTGAGAACAAGCCCTCTTACGCCATGCCAAAGTCATGTTGTACACCCTGGCCACTGCCATTGGTGATCTTATTTGCCAATAGGCCAAAAGTCAAATATCTGCTGATACCAATGTTCGCACAATAAATCAGTGCATTCCTAAAAAAGATGACAGTGATACTTGTAATGCAACATGATGTAAGGTACATAGTAAAAGAACAATATAAAGGATGTAAACCTATGTCTTAAAGAATATGAGGGTATTGAGTGCTGGACAGCTATGATGTGATCATGTTTTCTTTGTTCCTTGCAGTTATGTTCGTTGTGTTACTAAAGTCAAAGTTCTGGTGACAGCGCTAGCTCTCATATTTAGTAGAATATGATAGTGAGCAGATTATATAATGCAAGTAAACAGGCATCAGTAATTCAAGCATACACACTCACAATAAACACATACCCTCATAAACATTTTAATGCTGCAGACATCATTTGCATCGAAAATGAACAAACTCTACCACCTTAGGATTCTCTTCCTCAAAGTTGGATTTCTTTTGTTATTTCTGTCCTTTTAGTAGAAATATTTGTGTGCCAAATGTCAGATTTTGCTTTGAAAAGCAGCTCAATGTGCCATGAGTCTTGATGGATAAGAGCATTTGTGCATGCAATGGACTGAGTCATTTGAATTTATAAACCTAGCCTCCGTGTTGTTATTCTGTTCCAACACGCTCCAGACACAGGAAAGTACTCAACAAAGGCCTGAGTCACTGATAGATTTATTCATGAGACACCCATCTTAATGCAGGGAAAATAATCTGTATGCCTTTCATGTGTGTTTGCCAGTAACCGAGGCTTTGTGTTGTTACAAATGATGGTGCTGTATTTGCTGAGGACCAGCTGTTTGGGGAAGCAGTAACATGCTGTTTGGATGCAGGTCGTAGACTGTGACCTCTTATTGTCTACTGTAGGTACGCAACAGTTTAAAAACACTGTTCTCACTTTTATGAAACAATTCATAATTTATGTTTTTTTTGTTCCAAAGCGTTTGCGGGCAGACTGGTTCATAATGGCAGCAGCGCAGCAGATAATAAAATGATTGATGGGCTAATTTCTTAATGACTGGTTTTTGGTTAATTTGGGAAATTTCTTGGTTCAGGCAGTCAGAAAATGCTGTTAGTGTTCTCTGAAAAACACTGAATTGAACCGTTCAGTAGCAATACATTTTGCACTCAGTTAAGATGGATTTTTCTGAAATTCTGTTATATTGTCCTGTCTCGTCTTATGCTGCACTGTGTGTATGTATTTATGAGAACCAATGGCAACTGACTGTGTTGCTTTTAACTATTAAACTTAAAATTTTGGATATGATGAAACTGAATTTGTTGTTTTTTGTTGTTGTTGGATCCAATTCTTGCACAGAGATGCAGTCTATGTCCTCTATATGTCTCATGAAAGACTAAAACTCTGCCACGGGGAGGATGGAGTTAAACCATCTATTCCACTTTGTAGTTTCAAATTATTCAGTGCTCAACAGTGTGCTCATGCATGTCATGCAGTCATAGTGTTCTTCAGAGAAGTGACATTCCACCTCTATTTAAAAACACCAGATGCCTGTCAGTCTCTCTCTCTTTTCTTACCATACACCCTCTCCTGTCTGTAGGCACTCTTATGAAATATGCATTTATTAAAGCACATTGAAGCCTGCTGACTCCTTCCACTGACGACTTGATCACACGTTGAGCAGCCAGCGAACCAGCTGCTGACTCAACTGTGTACAAGTGAGGCAATTTTGTCTCTGCTATGAGTGAGTCAGCTCAGTAAAATGTAGCTTCAGCAGCACAACATGTATGTGCTGCGGCTATAACAACAAAGCCAAGACATCAATGGAGAATACTGCTAACATGCTGAGTTTGAGAATCCATTTGAAACAGTGGTTAGAAAATATTGAAGATGCTGCAATCAGGGAAATAACCTGGCTTATTTGATCTTAAAATGCATATCCATGGGGTGGTGTTAAAAATAAAACACCTGACATTACAGTAATGTAAAGTTTTTTGCTGAGACTGAATTGAACTTTAAATAAAGGGGTATAGTGTTAAAGGGGCCCTGTGGACAACAAAAGCTATGTTTCACTGCACTAACATGCATTGTGTTTATCCGTGAGGTCTAACAAATGTGTATTTTCAACCCTGCATTGTTTACATCATGTTTACTAACCGTACATGAACCCGCTATAAGTGCGCTGCTCAGTGAACATGCTCACGTCGTTGGTGAACAGTGAATTGAACGTAACTGTTCATAACTAATGAACGAGGAGGTGAGCGTCGTTTATTCCTGTGATAGATAGCAACACTCGCGCCTTGTTGATTTAAAACTCAGTTAAAACCGAAGGAGTACACAAGGAAACGAAAGGAAAAGTGTCCCCTCATTAGTAGGAATGTGTATCACGACACCCATGTTCACATGAGTGCATGTGCGTTTCCATGCATAAAATAAACAAAGAGACACATAGAAAAATGGTTCCATAGTGCTACTTTATGTGTTCATTGTTCCTTGGACACCATTATTTGTTGGTGTCATGATTTGAGATATTCTTCTTGCCACATGATGACTTAGCTTGCCTGAAAACTCACTCTCAGCTTTTGGTATTGGTATCTAAATGAATGTGCGCTTCTGCCTCTTGTGATTTGTAGTTTTTTGTTCTTCTCTGGTGTGTGGGTCACCAATAGAGCATGTGTAACTAACTATGTAATGTTGTGAGCAGGAAATATCCTCAAAATCCATTATAGCCTATTAGAAACACTGAAAAAAAATGCACCAGCAAAAGGGGTACAGCGCTCACAACGCTGAGTGTTGTTTAACAACACAGCTACATCTTTAAAAATGACCACTGCGTTGAATCAACATTGCTGTGAGTCCCAGAAGAAACTGAAATTATGTATGAGCTTCAACAAATTGGTGTTTTCTGCAGGGCTATAAGGTCTTTCATTATGTTCATTCTTGCACTATAGCTTTTATGCTGTTGCAGTATTTCTCAAGTGTATTCGTCAATAGAAAAGTGAAAATATGGAAAACCACAGAGGTGTATTTTTATTTATTTATTTTTTGCTCCACACTGCAGAAAAATTCTTGTTGTCGTCTCAACAAAGGAATTTAATCAATTAAAGTTACAAGTGCAGCGGTCACAAGATAAATCTTAGGGGTCACAGAATGATTAACAGGAAAGGAAAGATGGGTTTCTGTCTCAAAAGGGTGTGTCTGACTTTTGTCCAATCCTCCTTATTTTAAGTCTCTCTGAGGCAAATTTATGACCCTGGGATCTATAAATAACATTGGTCTGACTTGTTTTTTAAGGGATATAGCAAATGTTATGACCTCTCTGGGCTTTTTACAATAATAATAATAATTATAGATATGATAATATAATGGTACGGAGCAGGAGGCAGAGCAGCGTCAGTGGGAGTGATATTCTACCTTTGAAGGGAAAGTCCATTATCCTGAAGGTCACAGGTTCCGCCCTGGCAAAGCAAGCCAACCCCACTCCTCTAAACTTGCTAACACTGTGAATGTCGCTTTGGATGATGAATTAATTGAATATACAGTAAAATATGAAGGAGGAAGCAAAAGACAGAGAACATAAAGGAACGCACTGAAAGGTTACGAAAACGAGGAGAGAGCTGCTGTGACAGCAGGTGGAGAAAATGAATCGATGGGTGGAATTGATCTTGTTAACTTGAGGCAGTGGTGCGAAACCAATTGCATAACGCGCGGCCCAAAGCTGGGTCAGACAGGAACGGGGAGAGATAGGGAGAGAGCTAGAGAGAGGTGTGCGAATGATGATGAACGAGGGGGAAGGGTGAAATTCCAGCTGACTTCATTAAATGCAAGATGAATTCAAAGTCGTGAGAAGTGTATCGCTGCCAAAAGAAAGGAATCCCAAGAATACAGATGACAGTGTGGAGAAATAATAATAAGGATATCTGGCAGACTAATACACACAGTGCTGTAAATGAACATGAATATGTGTTTATGTTTGTGGGAGCAGGAGGAGGGCTGGGCATTGTTTATAGATGCTGAGTCGATTTCCTGTTTATCTTGGCAGAGATCCGGGAGGCGTTTAAGGTGCTGGATCGTGATGGAAACGGGTTCATTTCCAAACAGGAGCTGGGTATGGCCATGCGCTCTCTGGGTTACATGCCCAGTGAGGTGGAGCTGGCCATCATCATGCAGAGACTAGACATGGATGGTGAGTCACACACACACACACAGGTGTAAAAATGTACTGTACTATGCAGATCCCATATATATATTACATACATAAAAAACACATTTCCCCCATCATAAAAATGTAAATACTGTGAGGTGTACAGTTGCAAATTTGCAGAGATCTACAGTGTTTTTCTATGTACTCTTGCCTGTTCAGATGCACGGTTTACATATTCCTCTGTGTCATGCATAAAACATTTATTCATGCATGCCTGAGTGTGTACTCATTTCAATCTCAACCACTTGCCGTTTCGAGTTGACACATGAAAGTACCAACGTGAAATTAACGCCGGGAGAGAACAACCTAAATGAAGAAATATGTGACATTGATTAAATGTATGCACACATGACATGCAGATAAGTTATTGTATATCAAAGTGAGTTTTGATATTGGTTGTCTAACTGGGACTAAAATAAACTGTATCAATGCACTCGCTGCAACAGCCGAATCCGCCGGGAAACTTTCAGAGTGCTTAGGATTCCTGCTGTCAAAACAATACGATCTGAATCAGCAGAGGTGTATTTCTGCAGCACCGTCCTCACCTGTGACCCTTTAACCTTTTGTCCTTGGAGAGAACACTCTCAGCAGCAAGAAAACACAAACACAAGCAATCCCTCTGCTTGCACACAGCATTTATGCAGAGCCAGGTTTCAGGCAAAGCTGTCTGCATAAACCGTGATTGACATTCTATAAAGAATAGATTCTTAAAATTGTATAAGGCGGGGATGGAAAAATGCAATATGCAAATGTCAGATCACTGGGAAAATATTCAAATTCTTCATGCTGCTATCACAGCCTTTGATAAGTGCTTTTCAGTTTCACAGTGGAGAGAGAAATACTGTAAATGTTCAAGGCTGAATATTAAAGTTTGAGAAGTTACACTGACTTTATTCCTCTTCTGACTCATCCACTTCAGAATCTCAGGAGACCGTAGTTGCTTTTGCGCCTAAGGGCCCGGTCTTGTTGCATCGTCCGCTGCGACTTGAAGAAGCAGGCGAGGCTACTTTTGGAGCTGACGGAGGTCACAGCAGCTTTTGTCTCAGAAAGTCTAAAGTGTAAAGCTGTTTATTTGTTTATTCTGCCTCTGTGTATTGAGTCTAAGTTTGTTGGAGTTGTTGTTTGGAAAACCTCTTTCCCATTTATTGACCCAGGTCAACTTGTTTGTATTGATAGATGTTGTTAGCAAAATAACTTTTTTTTTCTTCTTAATTTAGGCAATATTGAATCTGAGGATCGACTGGCTGCCTAGCAGGGGCTGTGTCTTTGTGTTCGTTAATTAACTTCTATTGTGACAGCTCACTCAGATATGATCCAACAGCTTGAGACAAACGAATGCAGAGAAATGCGCTGACTTCATGTTTAGAGTGGCTTTCAGGTGCAAAGGACATTTGATTTACAAGCTAGGGAATGGGAAAGTGTGTCAGAACGAACATGGTGTGTATCAGTAAACTGTTGCCAGTAAGAGGCAAAGACAGTTCTTCCATTCGCTTTCACACATATCATGCTGTATCAGCTGTAACCCTGTTATTAAATCCTTGCCTGTTGAATAGCCTGAAAGATGCTATAATCAGTACAAATTCTAACATAAAAGCTTTACTGACAGTTTACTATATAAGCAGTAGGATAGCACAAACTATTACAGTAATGCTAAAGTAACAAAATTATGCAACAACAACAACATTTAAAACCCTTTTCTGTATTTGCTTACACTACTAATGGATTAAATAATTACTCCATTTAATCAAGAAGTGCATTGTAAGATTAATGTAAATATTTATTAGCCCCAATTCATTCATTATCTGTTCATTTATATCCACATGGAAACTGGAACTTTAACTTTAACCAGTTCTGGCACACACAGATTAGAGAGAGACTGTTAGAGAACAATGTGAACAGGTCTTCGCAATATAGTGTTAAAGTGACAAATATGAGGTGCGAAAAATCTGGCCTGCTGTTGTTTCGTTTGCTAATTTAGAGCTTTTTGTGAAAGTATTTTCTCATATGTGTGTTGACACAATGACAAAGAGCCAGTGATCAAAGAGACACGGCGTGGCGAAGAGGAGGGCATTAGCAGATGAATGAGAATGGATGATTGTGATTGTATCTCATCCAAATGGGCAGCTGTCAGGATTGGATCCTTGGTCACAGCCATCGATTCTGAGCCCAGCGGCCAATATCTAGAAAATACTGATAGGCTATCTGCTCTGCTCATCTCTGCTGTCAATCCAATCCATGCGATTGTTATTGAGCTCTGCATGCCCTTCATGGAGAGGTGTGACTACTCTCCTTTTGTTCCAGATTACAGCATTGCACCAGTCTTTGTTTTTTAGTATAGATCATGCATGTCCTTCTTTTTGACCTTAATGCCAAGTCTCTCTAACTTTGACTCTAATCTCTAAGTAGTCTCTATCTGTGTAGGCACGTATTAACTAAATACCAACAGCAATCACTGTTTTCTTTTTATTCCCTATTGTCTTTAATCTGACTTGTTTGTCTTTAACTAAAGAGAGCTCTCTTCAATAATTCATTGTTCGGTTTCCAGCAGGATGCAGGATGCTTGGTTATGACATAGCACAGGAAGAGACTGCTCAAAAGCAGGTGGCTTGAACTATGACAGAGACAGAAAGTGACTCAGTGGTCACAAACTGCATATACTTCAAAAATAAAAATAAAAATAAAAATCAGCAGGCTAATTTACCCAACATAGGTCAATATAGCACAGCTGCAATAATGAGTTAACTCTAATTACCCAGTACTAATGGGTGGAAAAGCACCCAATACAAGGGTTGTTAGGGTCCAGTAAACCGACAGATTCTTATATAAAAATATAAATTAAAATGCTAGGGAGGTCGTTGCCACTTCCAGCAAATGTAGGGAGCTCGCTTCATATCACCTAGGTCAAAAAAATATGGTATGACTGCCACGAACAGGTATTTTAATCATTGATTCATTCATTTATTTTCGCTACCCATTTATTTTCACTCAGGACTGCCAGGGGGCTGGAGCCTCTGTCAGCACACTGCACATTGCGTGAAGGGCATGTTACAGTATGTCAGATGGAGAATTATGAAACGATACGAGTCATATTTTATTTCATTGTGACTTCAAAATGGTAGACTGGCTGAGGACTAAAATTATGATACATTTAAGCAGCTACATCTTACACTTTCTGCACCAGCTGTTCTAACTTTCTCTGTCTGCTGTTAGTATACAGTTGTTGCTTAGAGTTGTTGACTAAAAACAGCTGGATGCAGCTTTAAACTTTAAACTACTGTTTTGCTGCTTGGTCACAGAACAGATTACTGTTGTCATCCTGTCTTGCCTTGAACCCTTTCACCAAGACTACCTTTATCTCCACTGTCAATCCATCCTCCTATCCTTAAATCTTCAGATCTCAGCACTGCTTCATCAGGCCCGTAGCTCTGCAGTATACCTGCTGAAAATGCGTGAATAGAAGTGCAGTCAATGGCATCAAACATTACAGTGCCAGCATGCACCGGAGTGGCCGCCACAGTCAGAGCAGGAGCAGAGGGACTGTCGGTAGGGGCAGATTGAGTCGTCCCGCATCGGTAACTTTCCACTGACAAGGTCCCAGCCTCATCTGCAGATACAGGAGAAGCAGATGGGAAGATGAGAGAAGTAAAATAAGAGTTTATAACAGGGACATGAAAAACACGAGACAACAAAAATAAACCTAGATTCTTTCACTTCTTATAGCTTTGAATATACTTATATTAAAGTATTAAAATACGTTGTCTATCCACCCTTTTCTTTTCAAACTTAAAGATCTGAATTCTTCCCCATCTAATTTTTCACAATTGCCTTAGCATATAATGTACAATATTTGGTTCATCTACACATACAGATAATAAAACCAGACAAACTCTGCAGGGAGAAAAATCTTCACTTAAAGAGAAAAAGGTTCAAGCATATTCAACCACATCAATATAAATCCATGATCTGTTCATTTGAATGTGTTGCTTTCTGCAGAGTTTTGATGATTTATTTTGGCAGTAGCTTCAACAACTGTCAGCAGGATCCAAGATCAGTGCTGTTGGACTCATTGTGCGCAGCAGGAACTCCTTGTTGTGAGTGATAACAGTTGCTGTAAACTTTGATGTGCTCCATACCCAGTATTATAGAGCTAGTCTGAGCTCATTGTTTTTAACCACCTCTTGTCTCAGTAGTAAATGCAGTATCGGTCTGTATACAGACACCAACAGCACTCATATTTCCTTTTAAGGTTAAGCATAGGGTGTAATAACTTGTCTACAAACATACTTGCAGAATGCAGAATCTTTGCAACACCAAAGGCTTCAGTCAAGTCTTTGCTATATGTGTATTTAATCCCAGAAAGGTTCACTGCTATTTCCCCAGCACCCAGCCTTACTTTCAAGCAGTTACATACATTAAGCTGCAGGTTGTTAGCTGCTGAGTGCTCTGCTCAGGGGCACATCAGCCTTAGTTGTTCAGGACAGGAACATCATTTGTCATTCACTCTGCCTCGGCTCTCACTCCAAACCAGTGAACCAGTAATATTTATGCATGACAGCATGCTGTCTGGGTCATTTCCACTATTGGAATGTAAAGTTGAAACTAATCCACAAGATAAGAGAGCTGATCTAACACTCATATCCAGGACCAGAAAGAAGAAAAGTTCCCTTACAGTTGCAGCCTGCATAGCAGTTCACAGAAGAACTCGCAGAAGGGTAATGTGCTAAGAGGCAGAGCCAGGTCATCCCCAATCGGAAGGTTGTTGGTTCGATCCCCGGCTCCTCCTGCCATGTGTCGAAGTATCCTTGAGCAAGATACTGAACCCCAAATTGCTCCCGATGCATAGCATCGGTGTGTGAATGTGTATGAATGAGTTAGTTTTTGTTGTGTGTGTGAAAGGATGGCACGTAGTGTAAAAGCGCCTTTGAGTGGTCGGTAAGACTGGAAACGGGGCTATACGTACAGGTCCATTTACCATTTACCAACCATTCATCAGATGATCAGATGGATAAGTGTTGAGTTGAGATGAGTTTTATTTGGTTTGATATCACCATTGGGGATGTTTGGGTTGGGTTTGGTTACAGTTAAAGTGTAATTTACAACCAGCAACAAACTTGACAAAAGTTGCAAACAAAGTAAGTCTGTAATCAGTGCGTCGTCGGGTATCAATAATCGTTCCTTTTTTATTGTCACAGGTGATGGACAGGTTGATTTCAACGAGTTTATGACGATCCTTGGACCCAAGCTCCTATCGTCTGAAACGAGAGAAGGCTTCCTGGGCAGCACAATAGATACCATCTTCTGGCAGGTAAAGCTTTAATCTCTCAAACGCATCTGTTCTGTTAACTTTGCTGAGTCATGATGAGTCATAAATAAAAGTAGACATGAAAAAACAGATGCTGTATGTCTCAGCTGAAAGATAATCACTGCAAAATAGAGCAGGAAAAGAAAAATGATCATTATTTTTTTTCCTAGGCCCAAAATACTGGAAATCTTTTGTCAAATGAAAACTGTTATATGCAGGTGGGGGTTCAAAGAAGTAGTGCTTGGTCTGCTGTGGTCAGGGGTTCACTTAAAGCAAATGTGGGTGTAATTGCACCAGATCTGAAAACCGTAGGAACTACACGCACACCAGAAATAGAATACGTGATTGGTTAAATGTCATTTAGATGTTAGAATTAAGTAGTGCGTCATTATGTATGGTACACATTAAGGTGACCTGAAAAGCGTTTTAATCTGCTCTCAGCGTAATTATGGACATTTTCAGTATTTAAACCTTTAGTAGACATCTGTCAGCTCTGGCTCGCTACCATGATACAGTACATATTTCAGTGAGAAACAGCAGCTAGTAACAATGATAATGCTAACACAGATTACACAAAGGTAGTTCCACAGGTACCGAGAGGCGATCTGTGTGCATCCCAAACCATCAACAAAGATTAAGACCCCCTTAATCGTAAGGTAACGTTGACAAAAAAGAAAAAAAAAGAACATGAAATTCAGTTTATTAACATTAACTTTATGAAAAGGACTTCACTTGAGACCCCCTTCTATAGAAAACAAAGCACAAATAGTTAACTCATTTAAATACATTTGAACTCAAATTCTCCATGCTCCTAATAAAGTTGCACATGTTGTTGATGAGCTATGATCTTGTACAATCAACTCAGGGTTCAGAGCAGGTGTCAGAAACCTTCACTATCAATGAAGGAGACATTTTTGGCAAAAAAAAAAAAAGAAAAAAGGTCTCGAGTTGCACAATATATTTGAGACTTAGAATGCTAATTTCTTGCCGCAGATCAAGCATTGTGTAATGCCAGAAGCGTTGGTGGTGAAAGCAAACGAATCTGTCCACACACTGTTAGATTTTCTTTATTTTCCTTCTAGACTGGATTTGGAATCCATAGCTAGCCTCGCTAGGCAGACTCAGGACTAGCAGGCGCCAGGTCAGGACGTAACATATGATGCACATTTTAGTTGACAAAGTGTTAAAACAGTTTTTTATTCAATATAAGTAAGAATGAGTCATAAATTGTCAAACACAGTGTGTGCCATCTCTGTCTGCTCAAACTATGTTAAGTAGAAACTAAAATGTAATTTTTTGTCAAAGGCGCAGGGAGCCACTGGAAAGGGGCTAAAGAGCCACAGGCTGCTCTGGAACTGCAGGTTGCCTACCGCTGGTTTAAAGGATGTTCTGTCACTGAAAAAGAATATCTGTGCTTTGGAGAAATTATCCTGGGTACAGACTCAAGTATTTGGTGACAAGCCCAGAGAGTCTTCTCTACCTCTCTGTACTAATGCAGTCTATAAATCACATTTATAGAAGTACTACTTTATCTCCGTTTCCATTTCTTGCGCTGTTTCTGTGCTCTTTTGAAGGGCAGTGCAAAAAAAAAAAAATGCATTAATATATAGCATCTGATGTCCTCTGAGTGATATTGTGACTGATGATGGTAATATGTGACCCTGACAGATGTGCCTTTGGACAGCCTAAAGTGACAAAGGAACCGTTGGCGTAAGAAACCAAGCAAGAGAGAAAATATCAGTCCGGGAATGAAAAAACCTGACTTTGAGTGAGTGAGACGGAGAGTGATGAATGTGCAGACAATAGAAAGAGTGAGAGAGCATGCATGGGAATGATGACAAATTGAGCAGGTGTGAGGGAAAGAACGGGACATTTGGCAATGATAGTAACACTTGGCAAGCCTGTCCTCTTGATGTAATCATCGGCTTGACCTGGGCTTTTTCTCTGGGGCAGGAGCTTGTGGTTTACACCGCGAGGACACAAGTCTTTTGGAGGTATGAGTGCAGGCAGGGCGAATGTGCTGCCAGCCCCATTTGGCTGTTGCAATAACCTTGGCTTATGCAGGAGCACGGTTGGCTTGAAAAGGGTTTTTTTTACCCCTCCAAGTAAGGCTGGTGGTTGCGGGTTGAGGTTAGTTACTTCTACACTTACAAAGCCACATTTCTTGTCTGATAAATTCAAGCCAAGAGGCAGGACTTGGCAACAAACACCTCATCTGATGTGTGGGGCATATTTAGAGTAAGAAGTAAGACCCAAACCTTGATTTATCATGATTATTTCTTCACATGCCTCACAGATGATTAGTTGCTTGACGTATTACACTTTTGTGCTTAGTATAGTTTGTTAATGGCCTGTGGTGTATGACTCAGCCTTTTACCTATTCATTTTGTGTTCTGTCATCCTGCTTGAATATCTTGTGAAGTAAACATTTTTAACTGTTTCTAAGCTGAAGAATGGTGAATTAGATACAGCATTTTGGCTTTACATCCTAGTAGCAGGGTACCATACAGTCGTCATGTCCTCTTTTATAAAACTTTTGTGTGACAATAGAAGAATGAAAATGATCTTAGCAATGCAAGTATACATGAAGAAAAATAACACTATCTACTCAAAAGCCCACCCAACAGTTCAGCAAACACTGAATAAACCATCAACCAGCACAATTCATGCTGCTGGCACATTATGTCCTGCTCATCAAAATTCCGAAACTACACTGAGCTCCCATTCAATAAATCTTGCATGATTATAAAAAATACTTTTCCTTTTTGTCAACTAATAGGATATAAGACAATATGCACAATATGTAACATAATATACATTGTTGCAGAACTAATTTCCTTATTGCTCCAAAAAATCTTAAAACTATATTTAACAATTTTGACTGTTAAAGATGATTAGTTCTGCTTGTTTTGAGTTTTTTAGCCCCTTTTAGCTTGTTGTTTTGGTTGTATTACACTTTTTATTGTATGGTTCACTCTTGCAGCTTTTATAGAAGGTAAAACAACACAAACGAGAGCTAACAGAGAGTGGACATCAGACTCTTACAGTAATCATCAGTTGGACAGAAGACCAATTAATGATAATATTCTACGTTTGCTGGATATGCAAATAGGTAATTGTTTGCCAACATCAACGTCATAACAACCATGTAATAATATGTAAGGTGGTGGGTTTATCAGCTTGTTAATGAGTTTGTATGTTCCTCAAGTGATTAATGCAGCTTAAAGTTGTGATAACAGTGAAAAGAAACTGGCACAGTCAAGAGATAAACAATTAGGGTTCTTTGGACAGGGAATAAAATCCCCACTGACATCAAAAGTAATCACAAAACAGATTTTTAAAGCTACACAAAGTAGATACAATACTTAAATGTGATGAAACAAGAGTGGAGTGACTATTTGCATGAAGGACTTGTAGAATGACTACATCACCATCAAGTAAAAGTTAATTTAAACATTTAAAGCATTATTTAAAACCTTTAAGTAATTTTCATGAAGATTGTCATGAATCATCAGACTTTAAGTGCAGGTATAGCAGTGTTATACTGGCCTGACAGGAAAATAAGTGGTGTTTGGGGTGTGTGTAAAGTATGTGTGAAGAAAATTAACTAAAGTTAACTTGGGAGAAACCCTGTGGGACTCCATAGTTTGGAGGATTTACAGTAGAACTCTTTTTCTGTTGTATACAACGAACCAGTTCATGTCTCCAGTCCCTATATTTTTTAGAGCTTCATTTCTATGTTAAGCTTCATAAAAAAAATAATAATAAAAAATAGATCACTGTATGTAAAGCAGTTTCTGATTTTGTATTTTTACCAAAAATACTGAAATGGTTTGCACACATTTTGATAAAGGAAGAGTCCATATCAGCTTAACAATCCTCTTTAAATCATTCTTGAGCTTTACTAGAGTACATTCATTGAGCACATCTAATTTTAATGATGTGCCTTTGAAGAATAAGAACCCAATAAACTCATCTTGAAGAATGACTCAGTCGGCCACAGTGCGTTTTAGAATTATTAGAAGATTCAAAGCAAACAGTAATTGTTGTTTTTCTTCAGTTTCAGAACTGCAGTAGCCTTTACAATCATCAGAGAAAGCCAAGCAGACACTACAGAGTAAGAACTAAGTGTTTGAAGCTGTTTAATAAATCCACAAACCTCTGTAGCTTTATGACTGATCAGCCCTCTTTACAGCAAAATCTGAGTCAGATTGAATACCCAACCTGTTCCATAAAACATGAATCATGACAAGCACACAACAACGACGCAACACTGAAAGCATTTAGCTGGAGGGGTTTCGTGTAACCCTTATTAAAACCCAGAGTTATCAAAGCATTTGACAGTGTTTCACAGATTACATTTTCCTCCATCTGGTATTTTGTAGGATTTTACGATTAAGTATTTATTTTCCCCCAGCTGAGGTTGTCTCCATCAGAGCAGAGCAGGATTCACTCTGCAGGAATCGTTGTGATACACGCAGATCCTGGCTAACTCGTATAAACCTTGTATTATGTTCTGGTTTGGTCTTCCTGAACCATGAGAGTGTAGTTCAGTTCCTGTCTTAGCTGAGAGATTTTCTCATTCCACTAATGTCAGGCAAAGTGTCACATCCTCACCAGCTGGAGTGATGGGAAAATGATTCACTTGTTGTCACACACTCACCTTCCTACTCACTCGTATCTGCTCTTGAACAGTTTGTTAATGTATCTAATTATCCCGTCTGGAAAATTATGATCTTATAATTGAACAACTGCAAACATTTTATTTTCCTCTGTTAATCATCAACTCCATGATTTGCAAAAAGAGGGCTCCATAAATAATAAACATACCATTGGACTTTCTTAAAGACATATATCATTTTTTGTTATATTTCCTCTCTAGAATAATCCTAATTTTCCTTATAATTACATGAGGTAACTTCTTTCATTTGGTTTCAAAGCATTTGCTTTTGAGGATGACATTTTCTCAGGGTGGATTGACATTACTTTGGTTTCCCTTGTCT